GACAAGCGCAGAGGCTTCATCGTCCCAAAATATGCCCAAACAGGTGTTCCGTGTTTTTCAAACTATATATTGCTTTCAGGAGACCCACGTGTTTGAGTCGTATTCGCGTCACTCTCCATGAAAAACCCATAAGCTTCATGTAATGTGGTTGGCTCCACTCTCCTTCGCCAGTTCTGGCTACAAAACGGCGAGTGTGTTGTGTTCCGAAATCCCAAAGTACCCACGAAACGTCCCTGCTCCTTGGTATCCATCCCAACCATCAAGCTTGGCATCCTTAGATCATTCGCACGCACCCGCGCGTTCGTCTGTTTGCACAGGTGGGCAGGTCCGTGGATGCAGCCCATGCCACTTGAGGGAAAAGGGGGAGCGAAAAATCATCTCCTGCGAAGCACCTGGCTGATTTTGGGCGATGTCTTTTGCTCGGGGATGGATAAGCACGTTTCCAATGAATCACTCTTTCGCCGTGCTCGCAGGATGTTAAATGTCAATTTTTGCAACGCAGCCACCCAGACAAAATTCAATTCATGGCATATGAAACAGCGGCTCGGCAGCTTAAGTTTGAGTGGCATGCATAGGGGCTTTTCTAAGCTGCACAGTGGCTGGCACGGCGGAAAAGCGTTGAATAGAATTGGACCTTCAAACCTCCAAGTTAGTCGGAATGTCGGAAGGTTGATTCACAGTATTCCTTTGCCAGGACCATAGGGAAAAGACTCAAAAACAACAATGACTCAAAAGTTTGGCTTGATTGCTTGCAAATCTCCGGAACTTCAACCGCCAAGTGGCTTGGGCCTTCCCACTAACGAGGGGAACACGGCGCGTGGGGCATCATCTCCGCCGAAGCCGGCCTTGCACATGCCGCTGCCATTGTCGATCACCAAAGCCACACACTCATCCATCGCCATGGCGCTTTGCTTCGACAACAAAGAGGGTCTATGGTGGGTCGTCGGGCCAAACGCCTCTTGAAGTCAAAACTGAGCTAGCACGTGAGATGCTGAAAGAAAAATCCAAGCAATTTGTGCAACCTGACATCCTTCTCCGAACCAATCACTAGAATTTAGGGTGAACTGTTTTTAGAAATACTCCCTTGTTCGGCATTGAACCATCGCATCCCGGTTGCGTGTTCAGCGATGTCTCACCGGCCTCAGCTGCCTCGGCTTAGCTCAGAGCTGCTGCCAACACCTGCGGAGCCCCTGACGTTTCCTGTTGAAAAACCCATTTACAAACTAAAGACTCCAGTCCTAAGCTAAACCCATGCGGTAACGACCACCGCAGCCGGAGCATTGAGGATTTTTGGGGGATGTGCAGTAAATGCCGGGAGGAGATTTGGAGCGCTACTACATGGCAAACTGTTTGGGTGGCGGATGAGAATGGATAAGCCAATTGATGGAACTTGTTCTTTCGTCCAGATCACAGGCTTCTCCGGTTTTTTCAAACCTCACTCCGAACCTCCCAGGGTGGACACCTGAAGATGGCTGTCATCTGGCAGGTGGTGGCTATGTTTGTTTGGGGGAGTGTGCTCAACACGGATACATATATACAGTATATATATACAGTAAATAATCTGCTTTCAGCTTACAAGCCAATGTCCTCTCTCTGGTAGCTGGCCACAAGCGCTTGCTAAGGTTGAAGCAACAAAAGCTACAGTAAGTTGATCTGTAGAAAGGGTACACCTATCATTAATGCGAGGTCTCAAATCAGCCTGATTTAGTCTGACTTCAAATGGTCGGTCTCACTCCTTTTGCGTTCCAAATTCAGCCCAAAATGGAGGACGGGCAGGATGTCTTCTGAGGCCAAAATCCTCAGCTCCGCATGTCTGGCAAAAACGTGACCCAAATCTGCCAATCCGCCTGCCCCACACCTCCGACCCGAGCACTTCGGCACCTTTGCACCAACGCCGTGCCCGTTCGGCACGCCGCGCCCGTTCGGCTCGCCAGCTCCACCCCGACTCCATCACGCCGCACCGACACGCCTGCTCCAGTCACGTCGGAGGTGTTCTCCCCCCGGCTCGAACTTGAACTCATGCCTGCCGAGACCCGGTGCTCAGGTGAAAGCAAATGTGTCGAAAAGAACCCACGAAACACATTGCATCGATCTACAGTAGAAACGTTACATGATCACTTATCTCACCGATGATAACTTTTTTCACCTGCTCAACGTGAACAGCACCTCAGATGCACCGCTGATGGACCGGAGATCTAACAAAACACTGGAAACGCCGATGACGACGACGCGACGCCGACGACGGCGCGAAAAAGAAAATGTTTGCTCGCGCCTTCCCCGCATAGACGAAGTACACGTCCGCAATGGCATAGTGGATATTCACCCGCACAGGACTGACGGCACCGCCGGGCTCGGGGCAAGGACGGGCAACAGAAGTTCATGGAGAGGCCGTAAACGTTGAGCTTCTTGCTTGAACCTGCCGAGGTCGCAAAAAGGAACGGCGAAAAGATGTGTGCAAATGCTGTGGCGCTACAGGCAAATAGCAGCTCCAGCCCTTCTGGTGCTTTCCAAATGACCCTGAGAAAGGACCCTCCGCTCGCCAATTGGCGCTTGATTCGGCCGTGACCCGTTGGAAAACCATGGGGTGGCCCCATTCGCCTCCGTTGGGCGCTAGCTGGAGCTTGGTGACGAAGGAGTGCTTGGTCCACTAGGAAGCCCTTACTGCCTGACACGAGAGTCTTGCGCGAGAGTCTTGGGGGGGGTCCTTTCTTGGGTCCTTGGATGTGCCTGAAAACGAAACACTCCACCGGTCTTGTTTGGGGGTCTCTGGTACAGCTGGACGTCACTAGAGTCACTAAAGAGGAATGGTTGGATGGTCCAAAAGCTCCCTGCTCCTGCACCAGAGAGGATCGTAAGTATCCAAACCGTAAACAATACCAAGTTGGGTCATGGGTCTGGAACGTTTATAAACGGGCCGAGAAGGGAGAGGTTTAGAAAAGAAAATGGACTGATAAACCTAAGCCGATCGGAGTCTCCATACATGCTTTTTGTTCAGAGATGTTTTCGACAAGGATGATGTCTCTGCAAGCCCGAGGACGTCACGCTGTTGTTGCCGCTGTGAAGTGGGCGTTAGAGCGTGACAAGGCGAGGGCGGTTGGAGAAGGGGCATGTGGAGGGGGGTTCATTGTGTGAGTCTCTAAACTCTGTGTCATCTGAATCAATTGCCGTTTAAAAAATCGAATAAAATAACTGCTCGAAGAGAATGAGGATGGGGACAAACACCTCTGTAGAATGAAGATATCTCTTTAATCTCAAATGAGGTCCCCATACATCCTACACCTATCCTTCTGCCTTCGGGTCGAATGATCCGGCATGATGCTGTTCCATGCACCGGGCCTTGGGAAGAAGTCAAAGTCCGCAGTGTTGGCACCCTGACACGTGACGTTCGCAGACGAGTAGAGTGGATTCAGGCCATGCTGCTCTTCAATGGCAATCTGTATCTCTTCCTGAGAATGTCAAGATCTTCAGCGGTCGTTTCAACCTGAAAAGAAAGTCATTGGGGATTCATCGTCCCAGTTCAAGGTTCTGACCCTCTGCATGACAGCTAAATAGGTTTGATGATCCAGGACAAAACGCTTGGTTTTTCACCACTGGTGCTTCTTGTCTGCCGTCCATCACATGTTTCTGGGAAGGCTCTCGTGAGCAGAATGTCTCACATTGTCTCCGATGTCTCCCCACACCAAACGCTCCTCTTCCACCGCGATGTGCTCTTTCTCCTTGTGCGGAAGCACCGTCGGTGCGGAAGCAGCGGAGCGGGGCCCAGGTGAGTGCTTGTTGTCACGTGAAGGTCGTTGGAAAAAACCCTGGATGAAGCTGATGAATGCTACTTCTCTGGTTGAAGTGAAGGGGATGCTGTTTCTGACAAAAAGGGTTGCGCCCGAGCTTGTAGGTTGTTGGCGTATCCAGATACCCCATCTTCCATGTTCTCATGTAGCTTGGATTGTAGAGAGTAGTGAGATGAAATGAGATTCCATAGTAAAGCCAAAACCAAGCTGGCATGTTTGTCAGTCGATCACCGATGACGTGGAAAGCCACCAACTCGAGCAAATGTTTGGAGTTGGCTTTGGACCGGAAGCCTTGGAGAAGGCTTTTGTATGTTTACATCCTTCTTACGGCTTGTAGGGTGGGAGTCACCCCATGGAAGACTCAAAATGCAAATGGGCCAGCGAAAACGCACGGTACGGCTTCTAAGCCTTGCGTCGAACCAACTTTTAGTGCAGAGATTCGGCACAGCACAGTTCGTGAA